GCCAGGTCGACGCAGTCTCTGCCGTCGGCGCCGAGAGACAGTCAGTCAAGCCAACGTGTTCCAGGGCGTGCGGCACCTTCCTCAGCATGGGGGGGCGCCCCCATCAATGCCGACCCTCTCGCGGTGCTCCCGAGCATGGCAAGCAGGAGCCGTTCTAAGTGGTAGTTTCAACGGCAGCGGGTGGCCTCATATTACTTTATGGACAATTGCTGGCTGCTCGCAGTCGCGCGCGTTCAATGTCACCGGACATCGTCTTGCTGGTCGTCCGTCTCTCAGCCGGAGAGTGGAGTGTCCGACGAGGCTGGCGACCATCCCTAACCGATGGGCGGCCCTGACAGGGGGGAACTAGGTCGGGGTGAGGGGTGGGGTGGGGTGGGGTGGGGCGGGGCGGGGCGTGGTGGTGGTGGTGGTGGTGGTGGTGGTGGTGGTGGTGGTGGTGGTGTGAGTGTGTGTGTGTGTGTGTGTGTGTGTGTGTGTGTGTGTGTGTGTGTGCGTGTGTCTGTGTGTGTGTGTGTGTGTGTGTGTGTGTGTGTGTGGGGGGGGTGGGGGGGGGGGCGTGCATCTCTGTTCGATCAGATGGTGGCGCCGCTTGCCTGCAAGGCGTATTTGAGGATCATGTTCTAATTTCTCGGTGCGACGTCGCAGTCTACATTCGCGTGGTGCCTCGCTGCGCCTTCCGTTGTTTTCTTTATTTCTTCCGAGCAGGGGCAGGAGTTTGGTGGTGCCAGTTCTTCGCGAACCATTTGGGGATCAATGTCTCGCCCTCTATCGGGCCCCCGTTATCGCAGACTTCGATCGGATATGTGAGGCTTTCCTCGCTCGTGCCGTAGGCGAGTTGCTGCGTCGTTTTAAGTTCGAAGCTCCTCGTCGCGTTGTCGAGCGAGCAGGTGGAGCTGAGCGCGCGTTTGCGACGGCAGGGGTTCCTGCTAGGTGCCGCCCCGCTGGCGCGACGTACTCGCGCCCGCTGCGCGCGCTGCGTCTTTGGGTGCATGATGTCCGGATTGTTCAGGCGGCTTCCATGGGCATGGGGTGCGCGCGCGGGGGGGCATGCGTGCGATTTGGTGGGCGTGCGCGGGCGCGGCGGTGGGCTCAGGCACATGGTGCCGCGCCGCGTCTTGCGCGGCATCGCGCGGGGCTCATGGCGAGCGCATGCGCGGCCCGCGGCGTATCGCGGGGGCGCGTGGGCGGGGCCCGTTTCCAATCCATTCGGGGCACATGCGCGCCAATCTTGCCGTTGCGCTAGGACCTGTTCACCGAGGTCCCAAGCCGCGAGGATGGCAGCTTGCTAAGGTCTCCACTCCATATGCGTCCACAAGTATCACAGGGGATCTTGTGCAGGCTCAGCGGGGCTTGCGGGCATAAATCTGGAACGGCGTGGATGGGCCTGGGGAGGGCGTCAATGGCAGTATCTTGGGTGAGGTATGCGACGGCCTCTTCGGGGGCGCGAAGGGCCTCGTCACCTTTAGACCTCGGCTCCCTCTTCTCATCTTTCATCAATTGAGGGCTGCGGCCAAGCGTGTCGCGAGTTGGGCCGCCTCTGGAGCGGCCCTCTTTCGGCTTCGACGTTGGGCGCTGGTCTCCGAGGCGGCGCTCTCCAGCGTGGGGCGTCTCCACTTCGTGTTCGAAGTCTGATGTGTGGCCAGGGTTGTTTCTTGTCCGGGGTCGACGTCGGCTGCTCAGCGCGGCCGGGGTTGCGCCCGCCCGTTTCGTCACTTGCCTGTGGGCTTAGGGACCAGACAGACTCGCGTCGATCATGTTCGCGAGTGGGCCAGCGGGCTCAAGCGGCCTCTGTTCGATTGGAGGGCCCAGGAATCCACGGCCCACGCGTCTTCGCGGGCGCTTGTTCAGGGGGGGGCTACATTTGATTCGCAGCTCAAACCTGACCCTGACGTCGCTGTGCGCGGAATTATAGACCTCGGAAAGTGCATCGATGAAGTTGTCTGGCGTCTGTTGCGTGGATTCTCGTGCGCGTGGGTTCCAGTCTCGTCTCGTGGCGTCAGCAGCCAGGTTGTATATGCAACATTGGAAGTTACATTGGGGAGCGTTGTCCTGGTGGGAGATCGTCGCCTCGAATGGCGTGCTTGCTGGGTATGGTATCGCTGTGCTACGTCTGCAGGGTGTGATGGCATCGGATTTCGACGTTGCTCGTCCTCGGGAACGCGCCGCCGTTGCTTCGAGGCGCGCCCCTCATGTCAGCCAGGTGCGTCGCGTCGGCCCACTGGCGTGCAAGTTTGCGCGGCAAGCCTCGCGGAGCGCCATGGGCTACGGCGTTGGGGCGTATGGGGCGCCGCCCCACTTTCTCTCGAAGATGCCATCCGCAATTTTTTTTGGGGGTCGTGGTACTCGCCAGGGTCCATGACACCGGCGTGACTTTCGAGCGTCGCGCAGTCTTCTATGTTCTCTGATCCCCAGGTGTCGGCCTGGGTAGAACCACTATGCCATTTGTAATTGCTGTGCCGAGATAAGGTACTTACCCGCGAGATTGAGCAGAAGGCTTGGCTGGCGCAGATGGGGGGATCATTTCCCTTGGAATCGGCCATGGAGGTCGGTGTCGGGGCCAACTGGGGCGTTGTTGCCCCCCGTCAAGGGCCTCGCGTGGTTCGCCTCATGCGCTTTCTGTGTTTGCGTTGATGTTGGGGCTGTCTTGGGCTTCAGGGCCTCGACGCCGTCTGCGATGGGGGAACTAGCTCCAGGTTGCCATTCGGCGGCGATGGGGGTCTCGGGCTGCTCGACAAGACAACTCCTCTATGGCCCCCAAAGAGGCCTTGGGGTGCTGGGTGGAGCCCGTTCTCGCCCCCGCATGACGATGCCAACCGTGGGGATCGGGTGGGGAGGAAGGTGATGGCCGTGATCGGGATGGAGGGGGGAAGGCGAGCAGCCTCAAACCAGTTTGAAGCGCGCTTCCGCGGTAAACGGGGCGGCCATGCCTCGATCCGTCGCTGGCGGGGGCATGCGGTCGCCTGCGAGACCCAAAAGTTTCAATTGCACGTCGGACTCGAAGTGTTTCCATGCCCGGGTCCTCGTCCGGTGGGGGATTGTAGCTCGAGCAATTTGATTTGGGTGCGTTCTGGCACCGCGGGCGCGATGGTAGGAGCGATTTGCTCACTCGGTGATCGCGGCGCACCGCCAAGACATCGTGGCTCTTGGCTCTAGGATAGAGGGCGTTGCCCGCGGAACTGTTCCTTGCCGCTGCCGCGAAAAAAAAACAGCCCGGGACTGTTCCCCCCCCAGTGCGGCTCAATCGATTTTGTCCCAGAAGTTGTTTGCATTGGCGGTGCGCGCGAACGCTAAGTTAGTGGATGAAGTGATGGGGGTTATAGCCCGCGGGGCGCTTCCGGGGCTCACGCAGTCCCCCCCAGGAACTGAGCCAACTGACCTCTATGCTTTTTCTGTTTGCAAGTTCTGCGTGTGGCTATGCTGCCTCAGTTGTCTTGCTTTCGTTTCAGAATATCATTGCATCACTCCGTCTCTTCCTTGTTACTCAGGCGTGGCGCTCACCCCCGAGCCTTGCGAACAATTTACACGCGGATCGTGCTTTCGTCTCGGCGCCAGTTTCCTCTTACCTGGCAAGGAGCGCCTGCCCCCCCCCCCCGGAACGCGAATAGAGTTTCAGTTGCTCTTTCGTTCGTCATTTTATCCACAAAAAACGTAATCACATGTTTCGCTCGCGCCAGATTCCGCCCGCTGTGCCCTCTTCCCTCTCGTGGCCCAGAGCTTCGAGGATGTATGAGGCGAGACGGGCCAGATCACCGACCCCTGATACAGTATCACGAACGATGCTATGTATAGGCTCCGAAGCATTAGACACAGAGTTGCACACATGTACACATATGTTAGCCAGCGTGCGCGGCTCAATCTCAATGCAGGTGGTGCAATCAATGTGGTCCAAAGTTCGTAGTGCAATCCATGGGGTGCAAGATTTGTGGCGCGAAACAATCCCACACAGGACAACGCAATGCAACGCATTGCGAAGCAATGCGCGCCACTTCTAAACATTGCGCGGCAACGCGTTACCATGTGAACCAACGTAAAGCAGCGCAAAACGATGTACACCAACAGAAATAACACAGATGCCAAAGCAATGGGGAACAACGCGCCGCAATGCCAACCAGTGCCAAGCGATGCCAGGCAAATCAGAGCAATGTAAAATAAGGCAAACCAACACAAAGCGGACGACCCTGGAAATTTGAAGACGTTTTTGAGCGTTAGTCTCGGGGGCGGAACAAGTTTTCACCCCAACTGGCACTCTGTCAGTACACGTGTCCCGGGAAAGACGACGCCGTGGAAAAGCAACCCGGATTGTCGACCCAATCTTTGATGGTGATGCGTAACGTTTGGAACGGCAGTGACACCCAAGTCCCCCTGGCGCGCGTTGGCTGCCTAGCAGAAGCGCCGACGGGGCTCCCGCAAGTGGAGGATCATACCCCCTCCTCCTCGCTCTCTTGTGTGGACGCCTGCTTCGCCTCCTCAGCCTCGACGCCACCAGCGTCGCTCAGTTGCATGGGGTTGTCTCGCCCGATGGCCACGTCCAGTGGGAGCGCTCCCGTCTGAAGGATCAGGTTTGGTGATTCCGTTGTGGTGTTTGCGTGCGTCCGAGGGGCGCCCTGCTGCGTTCGCGTGCTCGGTGCCCTTCTCCTCCTCTCGCAGCGCTGCGCAGCTACCCCAACTCCTCGCCACCCCGCCCGCGCGCGCGGCGCGCTGCGGCGGGAGGCGCGGGACCCCCCTGGACCACCCGCTGACCCATCTTCGATTTGGGATGCAGGGGGACAGAGAAGGGAGCCGCCAAGCGTCCTCCCTCCTCCTCCTCCTCCTCCTTTTCCCTTCCTTCTCCTCCTCCTCGCCCTCCTCCTCTTCCTCCTCCTCCTCCTCCTCCTCCTCCTCCTCCTCCTCCCCCTCGTCCTCGACGACGCCACCGCCGCCGCCGCTGTTCTCGCCGGAGGGCCGCCGACGAGGCCGCCGACGAAGCCGCGGCCGGGCGCTCTGCACCCGGAGCCGTCAAGGCGACTACATGTTCCCCCGGCAGCTGCCCGCGGGCCAGTTCAAGTCGGCTTGGGAGCAGCTCACGGCGCAGGGCGTAGAGGCGGGTGCCGTGTTCTTTGGGGGGACCGGAGAAGAAACTGCGGCATAAGCACCGACTTTCGGAGCTCCATGCGGATCATTTGGATCTGCGCTGGGCCCTCCTGTCGGCGCCTTCGGCGCCGCCCCTCGCGCGCTCCGCGCGCCAGGCAGGGGGGTCCATCGCAGGTCCAAGAGATCCGCGCGGACCTCCATAAGCTTATGTCAAAGCCGTTCTGCTTCTTCCTCCAGAGTTTGGGAGGTTCGAGGTCTTCTCGGGTCGGGCGAAAGGGGGGGAAAGGGGGGGGCAAAGGGGGGGTTTGAGAATCAGCTCACGTAGCTGATTTTCCCGGCGCCTCCCGGCGCCGGAGGCGGCGATGTATCGAGGAATGGGCCCCTCGGTGAGGCTGAAACCAGCTGCATGCAGCAAATTTCGTAACCCCCCCTTTCCCAATCCCCCCCTTTCGCCCGGCCCGGTCTTCGGGCATTCTCGCCGGCCCCCTGCGGTGATCCCGCCGCGGGATGCCATCCAGCAGCCGCGCCTCGCCGACAGCGTGCCAGGGGGTGTCCAGATCGTCCCGATCGGCCGTCAGAGAGCTGCGTTATGACCCTCTACAGGAGGAGCATCCCAAAATAGCAGGAAAATTATTTGGGGACGATTGCTTGAGCATTTTTTGTTATTTTTTGTATTTTTGAATACTTTGGGATTTTTTAATTGTTCCTCCAAAATCCGCCTGTAGAGGGGGCATGCCCGACCTAAGGCTAAGGGGGGATGCATCGACCAGAGGGGGGAGGGTTTCTTAGAAGCACCCCTGCTTGTTAGAAGGCGAAGGCCTTATCGATAAATGTAAGGCCGGCGCCTTCTCAGAAGCAGCCTCCTTCTAAGAAGCCCTCCCCTTTCCCTCCACCCCATTGTGCGCGCCGCCAACAATGTTGGCCACCCCGCACAGGAACGTGCCCACCCCGCACAGGAACGTGCTGCTTCGCTATCGGGGGTCTCTCGCCGATCTATCGGCGATGCGTCGCCGATGCCAGGTCGATGTCCCCCCGCTGAGCGTCGTAGTCGTCGGGGAGAGAAGGTACCGAAAACGCTGCGCTTCCCCAATGGCCACGGCTAGCTTCGCTCCAAAATCCTGGTAAGATTGCTTCTAAGGAGAGGCCCGTGGATCAGCGGTATCGGTAGTTCTGCTACCCCCCTCAGCACACTGGGAAAAAACAGTCAAACCGCATGGTAAGGAAGGGCAGACTTCCCAATGGTATCCTTGCATCCTTGCCAATCTCGGCCCATCCTTGGCCACTCTCGTTGGCCTCGCCCCGCTCGCAAAGCGTCGACATGGCCTTCCAAGGCCCTTGCATCCTGATCGTGCGTCCTTATTGTGCGGGGGGCGGGCTTTTTACCCCTTCTCAGTCCGTCGGGGGGCTGGCTTTTTTGCACGTTTCAGGGACCACGCTTTGGGGCGTGACAGCGAGGCGGTTGCGAGTAGAGCTGAGTGTCAAGATTCGCTTTCACTGGCAGGCAAGTTCAAACATGGTGAAACGGCCCTCATGCTGCCTACTACAAATAATCGTAACCTTCTTGTGCGGATTGACTGTACAGGCGCAACGCAGTGCGCTTCGACTTGCCCCGAGGGCGTGTGAGAGATCACGGAGGCTCACGTTCGGATGCTGGTCTTCGGGAAGGACGGGGAGGACGAGGAGGAGGAGGCGGAGGAGAAGGAGGTGGAGGAGGAGGAGGAGGAGGCGGAGGAGGAGGAGGAGGAGGAGGAGGAGGAAAAGGAGAATGAGGAGGGGGAGGGGGAGGGGGAGGGGGAGGGGGAGGAGGAGGAGGAGGAGGAGGAGGCGTAGGAGGAGGAGGAGGAGGAGGAAGAAGAAGAAGAAAACGAATACTACTACTAATAATAATTATAATTAAAATAGTATTAATACGAATAATAATGATAATAAGAATAAGAATACTAAGACGACTATTCATAACATATGAATAATACTAATAATAAGACTAATAATAATAAGCATAATAATACAACGAATAATAAGAATACTACGAAGGCGAGTAAGACGAATACTAATCATAATAATAAGAATGCTAATACTAATAGGAGAATAAGAAGAAACACACTAATACTAATACTGATAAGAAGAAGACTAATCACAGTAATAACAATAATACTATTACTTCGAAGGATACGAAGAATATACCAATAATAATAATATGACGAATAATAATATTCATAAGAAGAATAATAAGAGTAACAAGGAGAACACTACCAATACTAAGCGTACTACTAATAATAGTACTGCTAATAATACTAATAATAATACTACTACTAATAATAATAACAATATTATTATTATTAGTATTAATATTATTATTAAAAATATTACTAATAATACTAATGATACGAATACTATTAATAGTAATAATACCACGAGTAATAAAAACACTACGACGAATCATAATAATAATAGTACTAATAATACTACTACTACTACTACTACTAATAATAGTAATACTATTGCTAATAATACTAATACTGATACTAATAATACTGATAATATTAATAATAATAATAGTAATAATAATAATAACAATAATACTACTATTTATATTCATAAGAATAAGAATAAGAATAATAATAATAATAATACTAATAATAATAATAATAACAATACTAATACTAATAATAATACTACTACTAATAATACTAATAATAATAATAACAATAAGCATACGAGTAATAATAAGAAGAAGAGGAGGAGGAGGAGGAGGAGGAGGAGGAGGAGGAGGAGGAGGAGGAGGAGGAGGAGGGGGAGGAGGAGGAGGAGGAGGAGGAGGAGGAGGGGGAGGAGGAGAGGAGGAGGAGGAGGAGGAGAGGAGGAGGAGGAGGAGGGAGGAGGGAGGAGGAGGAGGAGTAGTCGATGAAGGGAGTCGCGAGGAGGATTCCGTCGGATGCTGGTCTTCGGGCCCCCCCGGCGGAGCACCCCTCACGGCCCGGCAGGTTCCAGCGGAGGATCGCCGAGATCCCCCCTCGGGTCCCAACTGGAGGGTTTCTCCGAAGGGGTTTAGGCGACCCCTTTCCTCCTCCTCCCTCCTCCGCCTCCTCCTCCTCCATCTCCTCCTCCCCTCCTCCTCCTCCTCCTCCTCCTCCTCCTCGGGTCGCCTAAGGGCCCGGGGGAAGCCGCTCAGGGGGGGGTGCTGACTAGAGGTGGGTGGGTATCATGGCAGGTGCCGTGATCTTTCCTTAGATTTCATGGCGCCTCTTCTGATTTCACTGCGTCCCTGGCTCCCCCTTGGGCCGCGCACGTGCCGCTGGCCATGATTTTTGCCCCACCTCTGGACGCCCCCGCCCCCGCCAACGCATCGCGGTTCCCCGACGGGCGGTCGATTTCGGACCGCATGCCTGGGCGTGCCACTCCGTCGGCTCTTGCCCGCCCACCTCCTCACATAGGGAAACGAACAATGACATAAAAAACTCTGATTCGCAAAGGTGCAGCTAAGTTCGACTCCCCGCGTCCCCCTCCTCGCTTCTTAGCTGCGTGCGCGCCGCATGCCTGTTGGCGTCTTGGGCTCAAGGGTGGGACCGCTTGTCCCGCCCGCCTACCCTGGTTTTTCACTTGGATGTTGCGGCGCCGCTGCGCTTCCTGTCCTAGCTGTCTGCCGCTTCGGCCCGCGCTGGGGCCCCTGGCGGTGCCTCCAGCGCCGCCCCTTGCTCGCTCCGCGCGCCAAGGAGGGGGGTCGAGCGCCGATCCGAGAAATCCGCGCGGGCCTCCGATTTGTTATGTTAATGTCATTGTTCGTTCCCCTATCAGAGGAGCAAGGAGCAAGGATACGGTCGTAGCGAGGTATGAGATCGAGGTCGGTTCGGCGAGGGTACCCTGATGCTCCTCGTGCCTGTTGGACCTTCTCGTGCATCCTGGCGTCTGGAGTCCGCGAGTGTTCTGCTTGTCTGGGCTGACAGAGGGTCTCATGTTCTTGAGGAGTGTTCTTCTGGCCTTGGTCCAACCCAATCAGTGGATGGTTTGATCGATAAGGAGATCGACTGGGAACCCGGGAGCCCAGAACCCACCGAAATCGGCCCGGAACCAATATTTCGGAACCCAGGAACCCGGAACCAGGAACCCGGGAACCCAGCCGGCCACCAAAATCGGCGGGACACTTTCGCCAAATCTTTCAATTTCCGCTAGGACCCCTTCAGTGCAAGCACTGATTGGGGAATGATGCGCTCCAAGGTTTCCAGGAGTCTCTGGATTTTTGCGCTCCTGTTGCGCGCGGGCTTCAGGGACGAGAGGGCTCCCAGCTGCTCTGGAGCTCCCGCAGCGTATCTCCTGAGCCAATCGTGACTATCGTCCTGCAGTCGAGATCGATGGAAGGTGAAGTCGGGCGTGTCCCTCTACAGAAGGAATAATCAAAAGTAGTAAACAATAGTAGGGGACTTTTTTGGTGAATAGGTGTTTTCCTATCTTCGTTTTTTTGTTGTTGTTGATTTTTTGCTCAAAGTCCGCCTGTTGGAGGACATGCCCGACCTAATGGTAAGGTTGGGGAGCTTTCCGAGGGGTACCCTTGCAGCCGTGCTACTGTCGATGTCCTGCTGCGCTCGAAAGAGCTTCAACGCGGGCGTTCAGGGGGCTTGCGTCCTGACCGCCACATCCGTTTCAGTAGCTTGCATCGGCCGTGCGGGGCCGCTGCGGGGGCTGGGCGTGTCGCCGCTGCCCCCGCGCGCGCGCGCCGTGGCGAGCGGCTGCTGCCCCGCCGCGCTGCGCACTCCCTCTGCCCCACCTCTGCAGGAGAGCGCAGGGAGCGTCGGCCACGCGCAGAGAGGGGGGCATCGGGGGGGAGGGGGAAGGCTGCTTAGAGGCGCCCCTGCTTCTTGGAAGACCCAGGCCCTGCCAGTGGATGCAAGACCCGCGCCTTCCAAGAAGCAGCCTCCTTCTGAGAAGCCCTCCCCCCTCCCCCCTACCCCCCCAGTGCGCGCCGCCCAGGAGTGGGCAGCGCGGCCCTCCCCTTTCCGAAGGTTAGGGCCGAGGAGGGGGAGGCAGGAGAGGGGGGATGGAGGAAAGGAGGAGGAGGAGGAAGGCTTCCCCCCCTCCTCTCCTCCTCCTCCTCCTCCTCCTCCTCCTCCTCCTCCTCCTCCCGCTCCGCCACCCTCCTCCCCATCCTCCTCCTCCTCCCTCCTCCGCCTCCTCCTCCTCCTCTCCCCTCCACCTTCCCCCTCCTCCTCCGCCTCCTCCCTCCTCGTCTTCCTCCTTCTCCTCATCCTCTCCCCTCGCTCCTGCCTCCCTCCCTCTGCCCCCCTTGTGATACTGCGGGTCCGTGCTTTTGTCAGGTTCTTGCGTTTGCAATCGCCACGCCTGCAGTTCTGGTCTGTTTCACATCCCATTCCAGACGTGCACGGCCCAGCATCGTGAAAAGCGACAGAGCGGGCACATGCCTAAGCGAAACGGTTACCAGGAAAGCCGACGATTGACGAGAAAGACGAGGAAGAGGATGGAGGGGGAGGGCGATAGTTAGGGCGCAGCTGGATGACAAGACGGGCCCGAATAAGATGAGGATCGACCATCTTGAGCGCCTCGATGTTTTGCGTATTCGCCACCGCCGTATGACGACAGGACGAGGGAGCTGACGAAAAGGATGCTGCTGCTGCTGATTGATGATGGTGATGGTGATGCTGATTAGGATGATGATGATGCTCAGGATGATGATGGTAATTACGCTGCTGTTGATGTCAACAACGACGACGACGGCGATACTGATGATGATGGTGGTGATGATGATGCTACTGATGCTGATGATGATGCTGCTGCTGATGATGATGCAGATGCTGATGATGATGATTGTGGTAGCGTTGATGTTGATTATGCTGCTGATGATGACGACGATGGGAGGACGATTTTGCCCATGATGATGGTGATGACCATGCTGACCTTGATAACGATGAGGATGATGACTCCGATTCACATAGAGATGCGGGTGAGGATGCTCATTACACTACTTCTGTTGATGTTGTTGACGATGTTGAGAATTCCGCTGATGATGCCGATGATGATATTGATGATGATGCTGATAATAATGCTGCTGCAGATGATGAGGATGATGCTGATGCTGATGGTGATGCCCATGATGCCCATGAATGCGATGATGGCGCTGCCGATACTGTACGTTATGACGATGACTGTGATGATGCTGTCGATGCTGATTATGCTTATGATTGTGACGATGATGTTGGCCACGGCGGCGACTATGCTGCGGTTATTGATTCTGATGATGCTCTTGACAATGACTGATCACGATGACGACGACGATGGCGATTGTGCTGATGCTAATGATGATGACGATGACGATGGTGATGATTCTGAGGGTGCCCTCGATGATGCTCATGGCGGAGGTGATGATTCGGATCATCCTGATGAGGAGTATGATGATACTGATGCTGATGATGCTGATTATGGTGATGCTGATTTTGATAACGATGATGATGATGCTGTCTGATGATGATGGTGATGATTTTGGTGATACTGATGCTGATGACGATGATGCAGATGCTTAGGATGATGATGCTCATGATGATGACGCTGCTGATGATGATGACGCTGATGATGATGATGCTGAAGGCGCGGTTGATGATGAGGATGATGCTGCAGTCGCTGCTGCTGCTGATGGTGGTGATGATGGTGGTGAGACTGGTGAGGATGAGGATGCTAATGATGGTGCTGATGATGCTGATGACGAGCGTGCTCATGATGTATAGGCTGCTAGTGATGCTGATGGTGACGACGATGCTGACTATGATGGCGATGAAGGTTGTGCTACTGCTGCTGGTGTTGCTTGTGATGCTGATTGTGATGATGATGGCGGTGATGATGGAGATGATGCTGATGCTGCTGATGATGATGCTGCTGATGATGATGAGGACGCTGATGCTGATGATGATGATGATGATGATGATGATGATGATGATGATGATGCTGATGATGATGATGATGATGGCGATGTCGATGTTGATGTTGCTGCTGCTGATGATGCTCTTGCGCTGCCGCGGATGATGAGGTTGTTGAGGATGGTGATGAAGAACATGGTGTCGATGTTGATGTTGATGTTCATGATGAAGACCACGATGCTGATCATGATGATGACGATGACTATGACGATGAGGATGATGATGCTGAGAATGACGACGATGCTGTTGCTCATCATGATGCCGATGCTGTTTTTCAGGATGATGCTATTGATGATGCTGATGCTGTTGATGATGCCGAGAGTGATGATTATGATTGTTGTCGTTGTACATGTTTATGATGTTGTTGTCGATGTTGGTGATGTACTGATTTTATGATGATGATTGTGCTGATGATGCTAACGATGATGCTGATGGTGATGATGACTATGATGATGCTGGTGACGACGACCACGATGCTGATGACTGTGATGATGATGCTGCTGACGATGATGATGAGGGGGTTATGATGATGCTGCTTACTATGATGATGCTGATGACGATGCTGCTGCTGATGATGCTGGTGGTGATGATGATTATGATGAGTATGATGATGATGCTGATGATGATGATTCTGATGATGATGCTGATGTTGCTGATGACGATGCAGATGCTGCTGCTGATGATGATGATGATGGTGATGATGATGATGATGCTGATGATGATGATGCTGATGATGATGATGATGATGATGATGATGATGATGCTGATGATGATGATGATGATGATGATGATGATGATGATGATGATGATGATGATGATGATGATGATGATGATGATGATGATGATGATGATGATGATGATGATGATACGGCGGGTGACGAGACAGGGGGAACATTAGCAGGAGAAGAGGGGGTGAGAGGTTTGATACATAAGTCTTCTTGGATGAAGCCTGTGTCCTTCTTGCTGTAGCTGTTCGCTTCGCTCCTGGTTGGTCTCGGAAGCCCCAGGCGGCCACAAGAGGCTCCAAGAAGCACCAAGAGAGTTCCAGATAGCCCCAGGAAGGTCCAGGACGCCCGACGGAGGAGGAGGATGAGGAGGATGAGGAGGATGAGGAGGAGGAGGAGGCGAAGGAGGAGGAGGAGGAGGAGGCGGAGGAGGCGGAGGGGCAGGCGGGGGGCCGAGAGGAGAGGAGGGGGACCGGGGCGGAGGCTCGCGAGGAGACTCGCTGGCACGGAGGCTTGCCTCCCGCCTGTCTTCTTCCTCCTCTTCGTCCCTCACGTTCCTCCTCCTCTCTTTCCCTTCGACGCCCGCCCCTCCTTCTCCTCCTGTCCATCCCGCCCTGCGCCCGCCTATCCTCTCCTCCTCCTCCTCCTCTCCTCCTTCCTCCTCCTCCTCCTCCGCCTTCCTCCCTCTCCTCCTCCTCCTCCTTGTCCTCCTCCTCCCTCCTCCTCCTCCTCCTCCTCCTCCTCCTCTCCTCCTCCTCCCTCCCCCCCCTCCTCCTCCTCCCTCCTCTCCCTTCCTCCTCCTCCTCTCCTCCCCTCCTCCCTCTCCTCCTCCTCCTCCTCCTCCTCCTCCTCCTCCTCCTCCTCCTCCTCCTCCTCCTCCTCCTCCTCCATCTTCCCCCCCTTGTCCTCCTTCCACCCCTGCTCCCTCCGCCCTATGCCCTCCCTCCCTGCTCCCTCCCTCCCCTCCCTCCCTCCTTCCTCATCGCTCTGTCTCTCCTCCCCCTCCCCCTCCCCCTCTCCGGATGGTGGAGGCGACCCAGAAGCTGTCGCTGACCTACAAGTCGTTGGAGGCCGCGGTGGCGGGCATTATCCAGGTGCTGAACATGGAGGCCTGGCCAGCCAGCCGCCCAACAAGGAGGGGCGGCAGGAGGGGAAGGGGGGGTGGAGGGAGAAAGGGGAGGGGTATCGGGGGCGAGGTGGGCGGCGATGAGCAGGAAGGAGGGTGGAGGGGGTCTCGTGTGGCTCAGTGAGGTTCCTGTTTCGATTCGTAGGGGGTATTCTTTCGGGGCGTTTGGGAGGCGGTGGGGTCCAGGGGGTCTTGCGGGCGTTATGTAGTTCCATATTCCAGGGGTTCTGAGGGGGTCCTGGAGTTGGAGTTGGAGGAGGGGTGAATGATCGGGGGGTGATGAAGGGGGAGGAGTGCGGGAGGAGGAGAAGGAGGAAGTGGAGGAGGAGGGGGAGGATGATGCGGAAGTAGAGGAGGAGGGGGAGAGGATCATAACTACCCCGGGCTAATACTCACCACAGGCAACCAGGGCAACCGTGGACGTTGCTGAAGCCATGCGGGGCACAGGCATGATTGGAGTGATCCCGTGCCGCCCACGCGCATCTATGAACACAGCACGGACGTTGCTACCTCCACTGCAGTCGCATGGGGTTGTTTGGGGATCTGTTCTCTTCGTCGTCCTCCTCTTCCCCCCTCCTCCTTCTCTTCGTCCTCCTCCATGTCTCGATCCTCCCCCTCCTCCTCCACCTCCTTCTCCTTCTCCTCCTCCTCCTCCTCCTCCTCCTCCTCCTCCATGTCTCGATCCTCCCCCTCCTCCACCCGCTTCTCTTCCTCCTCCTCCTCCTTCTCCTCCTCCTCCTCCCCCTACACTGGGGCCTGGGAGGTTGGCAGGCTGCACTGGAGCTACGATCAGTGCTGCATGACAGCTCCCAAACACGGCTTACCTATTGGAGTTCCTTTGTGTTGTGTGGCAGGCACCTCGTGGGAGCGAGGTTGACCTGCAGATCTGCGGCGAGCGAGGGTGTGAAGCGAGCAGGGACGGGCCTTCTCAGAAGTCTCAGAAGCCCCCTGTCCTTTCGAGCAAAGACTTCTCAGAAGGCGCGAGGGCTTCTGAGAAGTCCCGTCGCCTTCTGAGAAGGCTTTCTCCTTCTCGCTTTTCCCCCCTCTCGCGCGCCGCCAAGCAGAGGTCGCCCCCCGGGTTCCTCGGGTTCCGTGGTCTTGGTTCCTTGCTTCCTTCCCCAGGTTCTTCGGTCGTTCCTTGCCAACCACTGTCGAGCAAAGCCAGGCAGTGCCAAACAATGCAAAGCAGTGCTAAGCAATACCAAGCAATACCAAGCAATGCCAAGCAGTGCTAAGCAATGGCCAATCAATGCCAAGCACCGCCAAGCTGTGACAAGCAATGATTCCAGACAGTGTCAAGCAACGCCAAGCAGTGCTAATCAATGACGAACAGTACAAACCGACGCCAATCAATATCCAGCAATGCCAAACAATGCAAAACAATGCCACGCAATACCAAGCAATGCCAAGCAGCGCCAAACAATGCCAAGCAATGCCCACCACCGCCAAGCTAGGACAAGCAATGGTTCCAAGCAATGTCACGCAACGCCAGGCAATGCCAAGCAACGCCAGGCAATGCTAAGCAAGGTCAAGCAACGGAACACAACGCCAATCAATGCCGAGCCGTGCCACGCAATGCAATACAGAGCAATGCCAAGCGATGCCGAGCCATGCCAAGGAGGTGCTTTGCACCCTCCTGCACTGCCCAGAGCTGCCTTGCCTTGCCGTGATACAGAGGGGGGCTCCCAACTTGGTCGCGTCTGGGCCACCCTCTCTGGGCGCTGCACGTGGGCTCGGGCGGTCGGCACCGCCTGATCCCGAGGCTCTGCCTCCTCCTGGCCTTGACGTGGGGCCTCTCCTTCTGCCCCCCCCCCTCCTCTTTGACTCAAGCTTCGCGCGGCCCGCGCAGCGTCGACCGGAAGGGGTGCGCCCTCGACCCGCGAATCAAGAGAAGTGGGCTCGGGCGGCCCGCGCCTGGCCGTGGCGACGAGCACCTCTGGAAGCGCCCGGGAGCCCTCAGACGACGCGAAGCTCGGGACAACATCGGATCGGGATGACTCGAAATCCCTGAGAGTCGGCGGGTTTGGAGGACGTATTGGGCGCCGCGGCCGCTCTCAGGGCGTTCCGGAACGCTCCGAGAGCGCTCCAGAACGCTCTGGAGCGATTTATCCCGATCCTAGCCCTGTTTTGAGCCCCGCCGCACGACGCCCCCGACGGCGCCCACCCGCCCGCCCGAGAGGGCGGGCGCGGCCCCGCGCGGAGGCACCGGGGACGCACACCGCCGTCGGCAGCTCGAGGCCAGGGCCGAGGCCCGGGCCCCTCCTCGGGGACAGTTTTGACGAGCGGGCAACACACACCCATACCCATAGGGGGGTTCGGCGGGAGGAGGACTCGCTGTGGGTATGGGTGCGGGTTGTCGGACCGCGGGGGAGGCTCCCGTTCGAGCGGGGACCCCCATCTGACAACTCGCACCCATGGCCCCCTCCGTCCTCTCTATGGGCATGGGTGCGTGTCGTTCGTTCGTCAAGTTTTTCGTCTCCTGGCGTCGCTCGGGCGTGTGCATATCCTCTCGCGGCGAGGAGCAGCCGGGGAGCACCTCGGCCCATGCTGCGGAGCGTGCGCGCGCGAGGCCGGAGCGCGCGCGGGGGAGGGGCGGCCGAGCGATGGCAAGGTCCCAGAGCCATGATTGGTGGTGCTGCTGGGGCCCAAAGCTCTCGCCCCCCAGGGGCCGAGATATGAGGCAACACGCCTGGCTTGAATCAGGTCGGGTATGTCCAGACCTTTTTTTTTTTGTGTGTGTTACTATTTTCGAATATTCCTCCTGAAAGGGGACACGTCCGACGTAAGACTTGAACCACACCGCATCGTCGGAGACCTGGAATCCTCTAACCCTTCCGCCCCCGCCCCGGCCCCCGGCCCCCGCCCGCGACCCGCAAAGCCGTGCGAGGGCCCCGGCAAGGCCGCTCCTCGATGCTCGAACCAGAAAGCCTCGATCCTCGAAGCTGGATCCTCGATCCTCGGTCCTCGAAGCCCCCCCGTCCCCGCCGCCGTCCCCGCCCCGCCGCTCCCCCCCGCCCCGCCGCTGCCCCCCTAAAAGGCGTGCGAGGGCACCGGCAAGGTCGAGGCCGGCGTGCGCGGGCACACGCTGAACCTGAGCGGCACATTCCTGGGAGGGCGTCTCAGCTGAGGGCCAGCCCGCCTCTCTCTCTTCCTTCCTCCCCCCCTCCCTCTCTCTCTCTCTCCCTCCCTCCTCCTCCTCCTCCTCCTCCTCCTCCCCCCTCCTCCCTCCCTCCTCCCTCCTCCCTACTCCCTCCTCCCTCCTCCCTCCTCCCTCCTCCCTCGTCATGCGCGCGTGCATGCGTTTGTGTGTATAGCTGCTAAGCAAGCCATATAGTACGATTGCGTACTCCTCATGCCGATCTCCTGCCGATCTCCCTCCTCCCTCCTCCCCCCTCCCTCCTCCATCCTCCGCCCTCCTTCCTCCCTTCTCCCTTCTTCTACCTCCTCCCTTTTGCCTCCCTCCTCCCTTCCTCCTTCTCCCTCGCTTCTCCTCCCTTCCTCCTTCCTCTCCCTGCCTCCTTCCTCCCGCCACATCCTTCTCCTGCCTCCTCCCTCCTCCCTCCCCCATTCCTCCTCTTGCCTCCTCTCTCCTCCCTGCTCCCTCCCTCCATCCGTCCTCCGTTCTCCTCCCCTCTTCCCTTCGAGAAGAAGACCGGCATGGGGTTCGACGGTGCGCGCGGATTCCGCTGGCGGAGTCTCCGGCGCCGCCCCTGAAGATCTTCAAGCGCGAGGCAGGGGGGTCCAGGCGCCGATCCAATACATCCGCGCGGACCTTCACTCAGAGCGTGAATTACCTACCCCGCTTTCGCTTCCAGGCAACACCAAGTCATACCACGCGCCTCCTCGTCAAGTGGCCTGACCACTACAGGCCGTAGTTTGGCATCGCTTGGTATCTCTTGGAAGCGAGGGTGGTCAAAAGCGAGGTAGGTTTGTTTTCCCCCTATTCACAAGTTTCTGTTCCTGCCCGCGTTTCTTCCTCCATCTTCGTATCCATGGTCACCGTTCCACCCGCCGCCTCCGTTTGTCCGGACTCTCCGTGGAGTCTTGCTTTTCCAAATGCCGAACCCACCGTGTCGCTTCGCGGGCCCAGTCCGTTCGGTCTGGAAATCATTTGTCTCGGGATGACCGAAAGGGGGACATACAAAATGGGGGCGATGACTTACGGACGTTCCTGGCCATTCCGAAGAGGATCCATGGTCGGTGCCACCGCGGGCGTTGTTCATTTGAAGCGGACGTCGCCTGCCCAACAGCGGCCGCAATCGGTTTGGGACAAAGCTCACAGTCCCATGCCTTCGGGCCCTACAGCAGGCGTCCATGTCCTGCTCCTCCCTCTTCCCTGCTCCTCCCTCCTCCCCCCTCCCTCCTCCCATTTCCTCCTCCTTCCCCCTCCCTTCCTCTTCGCCCCTCTCCCTCCTCCTTGCCCAAGCCCCTCGGACTTGGCGGACTCGACAGCACTGCGGTGGCTTCCCGCAGGTGAGGTGGTCCAGGCCCCTCCTTCTCCTCCTCCTCCCTCCTCCCTCCTCCCTCCTCCCTCCTCCCTCGTCCCTCCTCCCTCCTCCCTCCTCCCTCCTCCCTCCTCCCTCCTCCTCCTCCTCCTCCTCCTCCTCCTCATCCTCCTCCTCCTCCTCCCTTCTTCACCTCCCTCCCTCCACTCCTCCCTGCCACTCCTCCTACTGTCGAACGGATCGACCAGAGACGGTCGCTAAGGTGGGCACACGTGCCTGGTCAAGGCCCTCGTGGGCATGGACCAAAACCACGGGTGCGGATGCCAGCTCTGCGCTTGTGCCCTTCGCTGACAGTTTGGGGCAGTCTGCGTGAGGACAGACGGGAGGAGTATGAGGGTGATGTTGATGATGTGCTCATGCTGCTGCTGATGATGCTGCTGATGATGGTGATGTTGTTGATGATGATACAGTTTCGGACTATGATGACGACAGTGGTGACCATGATGATGATGCTGATGATTATGCTGATGATACTGAAGGTGCTGCTGCTGCTGATGGTGATGATGATGATGATGATGGTGGTGATGATGATGATGATGGTGATGGTGACGATGATACTGATGCTGATACTGATGATGATGCTGCTGATGATGATGCTGATTAGTATGATAATGGTGATGGAGCTGCTGGTACTGAAGAATTAACGTTGCTGCTAATGATGGTGCTGATATTTGATGTTGACGACGATGCTGCTGATGATGGTTTGGCTGATACTTACCGTGAGGAGTGTCATGGTGTCTGTGATCGTCTTGTAAATGCGGACGTGTACTATGATGCTACCACGTGGTGGTGATAGTGATCATGCTGACGATGATGCTGGTATTGATGATGATTCTGTTGCGGATGGTGGTGGCCGTGTTGGTGCTGATGTTTGTGCGCATGCCGCTGCTGATGTGACTGCTGACTGTGCTGATGATTGTGATGACTATGCTGATGCTGCTGATGGTGATGCTAATGCTGATCATGCTGATGCTGCTGGTGATGATGATGTCGTGGCTGATGCTGATCATGATTATGATTAGGATGATTGTTCTGTTCTGTCGATGATGATGCCGATGGTGATGATGCTGATGATGGTGATGTGATGCTGATGAGGTTGATAGACTATGCTGAATATGATAATGATTGAATTGATGATGCTGTTGTTTATGTTGCTGACGATGCTGATGTTGATGATGCTGGTGTTGATGATGCTGCTGTTTATGATGATGACGATGCTGACGCTGTTGATGATAATTGTGATGCTGATTATGATGATGGTGGCGATGCTGATGCTGCTGCTGCTGCTGACGATGATGATGATGATGATGATGATGATGATGATGATGATGATGATGATGATGATGATGATGATGATGATGATGATGATGGTGGTGATGATGATGATGCTGGTGAAGGCGTTCATGATGAGTCTGCTGACGATTATGATGACTATGCTGTTTATGATGGTGCGGATGATTGTCATGAATCTGCTTTGGCTAGGGACGATTATGGTATTAATGAGGCGGGTGTGGAAGTGGAGAGGGAGCGGTTCAATGGGGAGGGTGATGCAAGAAGAGGGGTTGGAGGCGGAGACGGAGGCGGAGGAGGAGGAGGAGGAGGAGGAGGAGGAGGAGGAGGATGCGGAGGAGGATTCGGAGGATGGACAGGGGGACGAGTGGGGGAGAGGGGGAGGAGGACGAGCAGGAGAAGAAGGAGAAGGGTAATCAGAAGTGGTGTTACGCAGGCCAGGCATATGGGATGTCGAGCAAGGGGATCGTTTTGGTGTGCGCTGGAGAGGAAGAGGGACACTCCGCGTCGGTCAACAATCTCCCCCCCGAACCCGCCCGACGTCCTGTTCCAGCCCCCCGCGCGCGCTTCGAACACCCCCCCTCACAAGTGACGCTGTTTGGGCCAATAAAGGGGCTTCGTTCTTTATGTAGCCTTCCTCATGGTAGCAGCTTGGCTGTACCCCCCATGCGGTCCACCCTCCCACGCCTGTTGAAGAGCTCCTTGCGCTCGCGGCTCGCGGCCCGTGCCCCCTCCCATGTCCCCATTCATCCCTCGTCCTCCTCTTGCCTCCCCTGGTGGTCAGCGCGATGGCGCGAAGCTGTTCGCGCTTCGCGCAGCGCGCAGCAGAAGCGTGAACATAGACGCCATTGCGATTGAAGAGCTCGGAGTCCGTGGAGGGTGGAGTGGAGAACGCAGAGCGGCGTGGCGTGCTCACGCCGGACGCGAGGTGCGTGGCGAAGATCGCCTGCAGGGCGAAGAGCGAGCAGATTGCCGAGCTGATCGCAAAGGCCAGCGATGTGGGGCACGCCAGCAGCACGATGCCCAAATCCGAATGAAAGAGGAGACAGTATCAGAAGACCCAGACCCCCCCGCGTCGTGGACACATGTCTCGACGGGAGGTGTTTGGCCATTTTCGGCCGCTGGGTGCCCTCATCCATCGGTCCCAGGGACCTGGAAAACTGGTCTCGGGGGAATGATTCGAGGCCTCCGAGGGCCCACGCTGTGGAGAAATCGTGGCGTCGGGTCGGGGGTCTGGGGACGGCCCAGACATGCACTTTCGGAGGTCCGCGCGGAGTTCTTTGGGCCTGCGTCGAGCCCCCCCCTGGTGGCGCCGTGGGTTCGACATGGGTTCGACGCCGGATTCGGCGCGGCCAGCGGCGCGATGGGACAGACATCGTCCTCCCCCATGCTAATTGTGACTTTTCCGTGCTCGGATTCCCCCAAACAGTGTTTGCATTTAGGGTAGCTACTACTACTACTACTACTACTACTACTACTACTACTACTACTACTACTACTACTACTACAACTACTACTACTACTACTACTACTGCTGCTGCTGCTGCTGCTGCTATACTACTACTACTACTACTACTACTACTACTACACCACCACCACCACCACCACCACCACACACCACCACCACCACCACCACCACCACCACCACCACCACCACCACCACCACCACCACCACTACTACTACTACCTACTACACTACTACTACTACGACTACTACTACTTACTACCTACTACTACTACTACTACTACTACTACTACTACTACTACTACTACTACTACTACTACTACCTACTACTACCTACTACTACTACTACTACTACTGCTACTACCACTACCACTACCTCTACCACTACCACTACCACGACTACTACTACTACTGCTACTACTACTACTACTACTACTACTACTACTACTACTACTACTACTACTACTACTACTACTACTACTACGACCACTACGATTACTACTACCACTACTACTACTACCACTACTACTACTACTACTACTACTACTACTACTACTACTACTACTACTACTGTGAGGACTTGGATGTGTGTTCTGGGGTTTCGGCTGGTGCCCAGTTGGTGCCGCCTCGTGCCTGCCTCGTTGCCGCCTCGTGCGCTGTGTGTGTGTGTGTGTGTGTGTGTGTGTGTGTGTGTCTGGATCTCGATAGCGAAGGCCTTACAGCTGGTGCCGCCGACCCTGAAGGGGAACGACGACAGCGGCGGCGGCGACGACGACGCTGATGTGGGTCAGAGTCCTCATGTATGCTTCGGGGTCTCTTCGAAGCGCTCTCGGGGACCTCCCGGGGAGAGTTTAGGGGCCTCTTGGGGGCCTCTTGGTTTCTCCTGGGAGCCTCTCTCGGGGCCGAGGGCTCGGCCGTTCTGGTCCCTCGTCTGGGGTACCCTCTCGGAGCCGTTTCGGGGGCCTCTTGGTCCGTCCTGGAGGCGTCTTGGGCCGCCTTGGAGGCGTCTTGGCCTTCTTGGGTCCCTCCTGGAGCCTCTTTGGGCCGCCTTGGGGCGATCTGGGGGACCTCTTGGGTCGCCTTGGAGCGTCGAGAAGCGGAAGAGGCGGGAACGCCGAAATGCTTCAACAATCAATGGGAAATCAATGATTTTTCCTCGGTGGGAGTGCTCCTGGAGGCCTCTTGGTGCGTCTTGCAGGGCCGTCAAGACGTCTTGGACAGATCGTTTGGCGATTCGGGGCCCTCTTGGACCGTCTTGGGGCCCTTTCGGGGCACTCTTGGCCCGTCTTGGGGCTTCTTGGGCCCCGGGACCCCCCCGGGGGGGAGTCGTATCTGACCTGGGACCCCCTCTGGGACCCCCGCGGGATACCCCCTCTCCTGGCGTGGGAGGGATCGAACGGCAGGGGGCGCGCTGATCAATCTCGGTTTGGCTGGCGTGCTTGACCCTGGCGTGGGATTACGGCGTTGCTCAATCTCGCTTTGGCTGGCGCGCTTGAGTAGGAGGGCTCAGGGAAGTGGGGGGGGGAGCGGCGACGAACCCGGCGCATGAGGAGGAGGGCCCAGGGAGAGGGGGGGCGCAGGGAATCACCACCCACCAAACCATCCCAACCCAACCCGAAGGCTCAGATTTACCCTCGATTTCCAGTGGGGGGGTGTCGGGAAACATCGAAAAACACGTGGAACCTTTACCCCTCCAACCCGAAATTCGGGTCTTCGGGTTGGGTTGGGGTGGTCTGGTAGGTAGTCAGGGAGAGGGGACGACAGACGACGACTAACGAATGACGGAGACGACGGCTCGAAGGGACAAGGCCCTCACACACGCCGACGGGGTCGGCGGATTTCGGCTTGTGCCCGGTTGGTGCCGCCTCGTTGCCGCCACGTTGCTGTCTCGTGCGCTGGATGTGTGTGTGTGTGTCCTAGTGTTAAATCGGGCATGTCCTTCTACAGGAAAAATATTCAACAAAAAGTCAAAAATTGTCAGGGGGCGATTTTTCGACTATTGTTTGACCATTTTGGAGCATTGTTTGCCTACTTTTTACTAGTCTTCCAAAATCCGCCTGTAGGGGGACACGCCCGACCTAATCCTAGTGCCCGGTTGGTGCCGCCTTGGTGCCGCCTCGTCGCCGTCTCGTAACACTGGGTGTGGCGGGGTTTTGGCTGGTGGCCGGTTGGTGCGGCCTCGCTGCCGCTTCGATAACCGCGTAGCCGATCGATCCGATGAGATCTGGATTCGGTTCGATATGATTGCGATGCCCCGACGATCCGAGGAGGAGCAGCAGGAGGAGGAGGAGGAGGAGGAGGAGGAGGAGGAGGAGGAGGAGGAGGAGGAGGAGGAGGAGGAGGAGGAGGAGGAGGAGGAGGTGGTGTTTATCGCGACGTCGGATGTCCAAGGGTCGCCCGTGGGGGCGCGGAGAGAGAGCTGCGCTGCGCGCGCCGCGAGGCTTCGGCCAGAGGGACGCCCTTCCCCTGGGGGGGGAGGCCGCGAGTTCTCGCGAAGAACACCGCGCACCTCGCGCACGAAGCTGCGCGGCTCGGGAGGCCTCGGCCCCGGGCCTCGGGAGTCGACCCTCTGGACGCAGGGGCGACCACAGGAGGGGGGGTGGCACAGGGGGGAACGCGTCGACCCCCAGTCGCCCACCGATCGCCGATGTGGGCCCGATGGCCCCAACCTGCCCAGGAACGTGCGGACTCACGATCGGGGGGCCCGTCGCCGATCTATCGGCGAGGTGTCGCCCATTCGAGGTCGATGTTTCCACCCCCCCTTATCGTTGCCTATCCCGACAGAACCCTATAGACTCTGTAGGACCCTACAGGAGCCTGTGCCTATCCTAGGGTGACGACAAAAATGACATACACATAAGAACTCGGAGGTCCGCGCGGATTTCTCGGATCGGCGCTGGACCCCCTCCACGGCGCGCGGAGAACGCCAGGGGCGGCGCGGGAGGCGCCGCCAGGAGGGCCCAGCGCGGATTCCAGAAATCTGTGTGGACATTCGAGTTTTTATATTTCTATCACTCTTCGTTCCCCCTCCTCCTCCTCCTCCTCCTCCTCCTCCTCCTCCTCCTACTCCTCCTCCTCCTCCTCCTCCTCCTCCTCCTCCTCCTCCTCCCCTCCTCCTCCTCCTCCTCCTCCTCCTCCTCGGGGCCTGAGGAGGTGGAGGAGGAGGAGGAGGAGGAGGAGGAGGAGGAGGAGGAGGAGGAGGAGGAGGAGGAGGAGGAGGAGGAGGAGGAGGAGGTGGAGCAGGAGGAGGAGGCCCAGCACGGGCCTGGCGAGCAGGAAGGGCGGGCAGGCGTCGGGGCTCAAGAGAGCCGAGGGTCGGTGTGAGGGGGGGTCGGGCAGGGCGCCGGATCCTGCAGGATCCTGCAGGGCCAGGGCCGCGTTGGCCAGGGCATGGGTGCAGGATGATCCTGCAGTAGGGGGCCACATGCGAACCCTACCCCTACGCCCCACGATATTTGAGGGGGAGGGTGGGGTTCACTTCGTTCGGGAGCTCCCGAGCGAAGTGAACCCCACACTCCCCCCAGAAATCGTGGGGGGTAGGGGTAGGGTTCGCATGTGGCCCCCTACTGCAGGATCTTGCGGCATCCTTCGCACCGACCCGGGTTTGGGCAGGCTTTTGCAAGGCCTGACTGGCCCGGGTCCGGGTTGACCCGGGCCAGGAGATCCCCGAGCAGGTTCGAGGCTCTGGGTTCGGGAGGGCTTTTTGCCTTGCTCGGCTTCGGGGGCCGCTTTCGCGCCCCAGGGCCGTCCGACACGGACACGGGGTGGAGAACTGCACCACGTGGCTTCGGAGGTTGATAGACCTCCTACCCTGACACGTCGATTAAGGAATTGGCCGTTTTCGGTTCGCGAGGGGGCGTCGCGGCTGTCATTCTTGCGGATCCAGCCGCTTTCGGTCCCAGGCCGTTTTCACTAAAGGGAGGTTCACTACAGGGAGGTTTGCCCACCGCCGATGCGTTTGGCTTCATCCCCCCTCCCGACAGATCTTCCGGGGCCCCAGCCAGTTCAGAGACGCCCCGGCCGCCAGAAAGCCCCAGGGGTCCTGGCCTCACCTTCAGGGGGAGCTTTTCGTCCCGTGCCCATTTTTTTCGGAGTGCCCGGGGGCCCGACAGCGGCCCCCGAAGGAGTGCCCGGGGGCCCGACAGCGGGAGGAGGAGGAGGAGGAGGAGGAGGAGGAGGAGGAGGAGGAGGAGGAGGAGGAGGAGGAGGAGGAGGAGGAGGAGGGGGAGGGGGAGGGGGCGGGGAGGGGGAGGGGGAGGAGGAGGAAGGAGGAGGAGGCGGAGGAGGAGGAGGAGGAGGAGGAGGAGGAGGAGGAGAGGAGGAGGAGGAGGAGGAGGAGGAGGAGGAGGAGGAGGAGGAGGAGGAGGAGGAGGAGGAGGAGGAGGAGGAGGACAGCGCTGGGATGGAGCAGCTCACGCGGTCGCACCTTTCTGCGGGCACGGCGAGCAGACCTTCGCAGCGCCCCGACCCTCGGCCCGCGACGCCGGAGGCGTGCCCGCGCGGGCTCGCCCGCCGCCGCCGCCGCCGGGGTCCTCTGCGATCCGATCGCTCCGACTCGGTGCCGATTCCGGCCAGCTCGATCCGATTCGAGTCCTACATTTGCCGGAGGTGGATCGACCTCCTGCCCTGACGCGTCGATGAGTGGATGGGCCGTTGTCGCTTCGCGAGAGGGCGTCGCGGCCGTCCTTCTTGCGGCTCCAGGTCCGCCGCTTTCGGCCCCAGGCCGTTTTCACTGAGGGGAGGCGCCGACTTAGCGTCGATTAGCGTCTGGTGCTCGACGAGACAGCGACAACTTCGTGCCGATCTAGCGTCGATCTGGCGCCGAGGAGCG